TGTAAGGATTATTCAATAAAATTTGATGGAATTCTACTGTTACTTAAATTGTGTACATCTTAAAAAAGGCTTTTTTTGTGTAGTTTTTTACTTATTGTGAATGACTGATTAGTGTATATTTTTCCAAATAAACAAATATTCATCCTTTGGTGTCTTTACTCACTCCTCTCAAAACTGAGGTCATACTGACCACATTTCTACAAACAATCAATTCCTAATGATTTGGTGTCGTACTGTATCGCGTACCTTGTCAGTGTCGTGCGCTTTGCTTGGCCATTTGTTGGGATAAACAGGAAAGTGTGTCCAGCTGAATTCAATTTGAGGTTTGTTAAACTAATTAAAAAGAAGCTTAGTTTACCGCGGAAGGCTTCCTAATCTAGCTGTCTATAAAGACCTGGCATTATATATTTTGCTCTTCTTTTGTAAGTCGCTTTGGATAAAAGCGTCTGCTAAATGACTAAAAGTAAAAGTAAAGTAAGTAATGAATAAATATGGATTAATAAAGGATTAATACATCAATCCAAAATGTTCTACTTATAAAGTTCTAAAGTTTTAAACATGAGCCATATCGCCATAGCAACTTCTCAAACATTCCAAATTCACCATGGTAACCATAGTTCCACCAAAATGCAACAGTGTGTCATGCGGCTGCAGCGCACAGCTGTAATATACTGCCCCCGTCAGGTGACAGACGGTACAGCAGCTACAGCAGGAGGAATTCAGTGGCTCACTGAACTTTTGTTCCAGCGGATGACAGATCATCTCTACAATGCATAGATTATGGGAACACATAAAGACAATGTTCTGGCTTAGCCTGCACAATCACACACAGATTAAGGGGTAATGCGAGTGTGTGTGTGTTATGTGGGTTAAGGACAGAAAAGCAGAAATATTTCTCCATGTATGACAGCAACATGCATGTGGTTTAATACATCCACCCTGTGGTGTGCTCTTGATTTGTGAATGTATGTGTGTGTGTGTCACTAAATATAGCCCAACATGAATTAAACACACAGCTGTGGTGTCAAAGATAAAAGCCATGACCCACCTACAGTACTGGTCAAAAGTTTGGAATAATTAGGATTTTTAATGTTTATGAAATAAGTATTTTCTGCTCACCAAAGCTGCATTTATTTGATAAAACAAATAACAGCTGTTATCCACAAAAATATTGGGCAGCACAACTGTTTTCAACATTGATAATAATCAGAAATGTTTCTTGAGCAGAAAATCAGCATATTAGAATGATTTCTGAAGATCATGTGACGCTGAAGACTGGAGTAATGATGCTGAAAATCCAGATTTGCATCACAGGAATAAATGACATTTTAACAGATATTCACATAGAAAACAGCTAGTTTAAATTGAAAAAAAAAAAATTCAGAGTTTTACTTATTTATTTATTTTTTTTATCAAATAAATGCAGCCTTGGTGAGCAGAAGAGTCTTCTTTCAACAGCATCATTCCAAACTTTTGAGCAGTAGTGTCATTTCTTACACATCAACCTAAATAACACAATAATACAGCAGAAATCAGCCTTGACTGCCATGTTAGAGAAGAAATCACACAAACACACATGTATAGATGTTATTTTACGCTGTTATATGATAACCTCCGTAAATTAACAGGTGTGTGCATTGTGTTTTTGAAGCTTTTAGTCTGTGGAGTGAGTTGGATTAGACGGCGATCAGTCTCAACGCAAACATTGCCAGACACAAGTTTGGATGCACTTGAGGGAACTCATGTTCAGCAGAATCACAGAAATATGTATTATGAACTAATCAAAAAAAAATTTCTTACATTAATTTCCTTGATTTGTAGTGGATAGTGATGGAAGATCTAAACAAAAAAGAAGCTCAAATATATAAAAAAAAATATATATATATATATTTGTGTTATGTTTGTAATTTTATTTGGGACAAGTTATGATTACATCATTCCCAGACTTCCATTTGTCTTTTATTACTCATAAGCATTGAAACTAGTTACAGTCTAGTCATAATGCTCAGCTGGCAGGTGCATCCAAACTTCTGACAGGTAGTGTAGTTGATAAACTCAATACACAGTCTGATCCAGCGGACAAAAGCTCAAAGCACAACACACACAAACACACACACATGCACGGTCACACACAAGCTCATCTCACAAAGACTCACTGCGGCAATCAATAGTGAATTCTTCCTTAAATCCTGCTGTGGACAAATTAGAAACAGCTGCATTATGACTGATCTGAGAGATGTTAGTGCGCAGTGGTGAACGGGACAGGAAGTGACACGCTGAACGCTCACTGACACATCTGACAGCGCGTACACATGCTGATTAGAGCTCATCTAATCAGTCTAATTAAAGTAATCGCATCATCTGCATCACCAGGACAACAGTCAACACCAAAAACAAGAGCAGTTTGGATGATAACAGTCAAACACTATCTGATGCTCACTAATCTAAACCCAGAGATCCAGGTTCAGAACAAGATGATAAATGATAAAATACACCCTCAAACATATCGTGACAAGATATAACATACAGGATATATGATAGAAAACTCCACCCACAGGTAGTACATCAGTGGATGAATACTTAGAATAGTAGTCCCACTGTTAAAAAGACAATTATTATTATTATTATTTCAAAATAATTAACAAAAAAATCCTTAAAAATTAATTTAATTGTTTTCTCAGTTGAGGCATTTTGCAGTTCAAACAATTTTGTATGGAAGAATCAATTAATAAATTGTTCATTTAAATTTTTCATTTATTTATTACAAAATAATTAGCAAAAATATGCTTTTTAAAATTAATTGGATTATTTTAAATTGTTTTCTTAGTTTAGACACTATGAAATTAAAATAACATATGTATGGTAGAATTTATTAACAAATCATTCAAATTAGTTAACAAATAACTAACAAAAACATGTCTCAAAATAATTTATTTAAAATTTTAATTTTCTCACTTTAGACACTTTGCAGTTTAAACAACATATCTTTGTATGAAAGAATTAATTTACAAAATATTTATACTTTTTATAAAATAATTAACAAAACATTATTATAATTGTTTTCTCAATTGAACACATTTTGTATGGAAGAATTAATTAACAAATTAATAAAAAATAGTTAAAAAAAACAATATAAATAAGCATAAAATTTATTTTAATTAAAATATGTAAACTATTTTCTCAATTTAGACACTTTGAAGTTTAAATAATATGTTTTGCATTGAAAATGTATTAACATTTTTAAAAGTATTTGAAAAAAATTATGCACAAAAAATGAATTAAAAAGATTAAATTATTTTCTGTACTTTTTAACATTATGTTTCCAATGCTATCAATAGAATTGAATTTATATTAAACCCAAATCTATTGAGTATGCTTGATATGACAACTGATGGTCACATGACCTGATAATCATCATGTGATCAGGTCCTGTATGTAGGACAGCAGGTGTGCGGGACTGTGAAGCATGTGTTCATCTGTCATGATTTCATCAAGAAGCATCAATCCCTCTTTTTCATTTAATCAGAGAGCGATGAGCATCAGCATATGAGCGTCATGCTACCACTATTAAATTAACCCAGTTAAGTCTGTCTGGGAGAAAATATGAGGGTTTAGCTCTTCTCAGAGTAATGCAGGATCTCTCCTGAGGAGCTGAAGACAAAGCCACTCAAGAGGTCAAACACTCAAGTTACTGACATTAATGTTAGCCTCATTCATGACACACCAGCACAACAAATCTAGATTTACACAGATATGACGTAAGAATGGTTTTACAGATAAAATAGAAATTGTATTCCTGTCCATGATGCTAGTAACACCAAAGTCATGGGCTAAATTCCCAGAGGATGAAAGTCCAATAAAACCATCTGCCAAACGCATAAATGCAAATGTAAATGCATTAATGCAACACTTAGTTTTTAACAGTCCACACAGAAACTCATTCTGCTGTTGTTTCTTGAATGAAGCTAATTGATTTTGGAAAGTCAATTCAACTGATTCTAGACGACAGCTTCCACAACATTATTTGGAAACTAGCTTTTCCTACACTCTTAAAAATAATGCTTTACTGGTGATTAAAAATGCTCTATAACAGTGCCTCTCAACCATGGGGCCTCAAGATGACTTTTTATTATGTATTTTTATTATTGATTGAATTTAGTGAAGTTTTAAATGAAGTTTCCTTTGAAGAATCAGAGTCTTGGAAAACCTGGATTTGTAAAGAAGACTAATTTTAAAAGTGTGATGGTTTTATCTGGAAAAATCAAGTAGATTAATAAAACATTTTACATAGCATGAGCATTTTTTTTAATAATGATTATATATACTTTTTTTTTTTTTACAAGCTCTAAAATATCAAGTGGAAATTGTGAGAAAAAAAACTGAAATCTAATAATAATAATAATAATAATAATGAATACTTATAAATAAATAATACTTTTTATTATTATTACTGCTGTTAACTTCTTTGTTTTTATAATTATTTTAATAAATTTATTTATTTTATTTTATTTTAATTTACAGAAACCATGTCCATAATTTCAATAATTCATAATTTCAATGTTGTTGTGGACAATGGAGTCAAAAAGGTTGAAAAGCATTGCAACAGACGTCCATTACGTTCTCCTTCTGTATGTGAATTAATTGTGTTTGGCATCATTGACGTCAAACCGGGTGATGCAGCATGTATGAATAAACTGTGTGAATGCAAATGAGATACACAAAGCTTTCAATGACTTCAGAAGACATGTGAAGTACTGTTATTACACATGATGATTCTGATGGTTTGCATTCAACTAGATTTCAATGCATTGAAAAGATCTGTGTAAACATCTTGCCTAGCATCTCATTTTGTAATGGTTCAAATAACCATAATGGTTCATGAGTGTGACATTTTTGAGTGCAATATTCCTTCTGAAACATTTATTTTTAAGAGTGCCGGTTGTCAAAGTCAGTCCGTGTCACTTTTGCAAAACTTTACTGTCACGTCTCTTTAACTTCCTGCATTCAAACACTTCATCTTCACAAACACAGCAGTTTAGGGAGTTCAGGTTTGCCAGATAAAGCACATTACATCAGACCGACATCAACAGCTTCCTTCAAAAACCGTCCTTGAGCAAAGGCGCTTTATCTGGGGTGCCAAAATCTCACGGTGATGCTTTTCTCGCCATTAGAGACGTTAAAGTGTGAATCGTGTTGTTTAGAACAGAAGGACGAACAGGTCAATCTGTCTCAATCCCAAAACCCAAAACACCAAAAGCATCACTATGAATCTGGATTGTCTGTCTAGCCCAACATGTTCAATTCAATCCTATACAAACGCTTTCTTGAACTCAACACAAGGCTCCTGGGCAGAAGCGTCTTACCTGAGTGACTTTCTCGGTGACGTTGTGTGTGCGGTCGATGAGTTTGCAGGGTGCGATGATGTCCATTTCTCCGGCCGGGAGGGCGAGGAGAGGGTCCGGTTTGAAGTCCACAAAGTTGAGCGTGATCTGTGGGATTTTACTGATGGCGCGGTAACGCATCAGATCCGAATCAGAGGTAGAGTTCAGGATGCTGGATTTGCTGTTCATGGCACCTGGGACTAGAAACAGATTTTGCTTTAGGTCACTGAGAATCTTCTTTTAATCTGAAATGCTTTTGACATTTACAGTATTTATTACCAAATCATATCTAGAGTACCGTATCATATCATATCATATCATATCATATTATATTATTATGAATTAGCTTTAATTTTTAGATTTTTAGTTGTCATTTTAATTTTAGTTTAAGAAATGTTGTGCTTTTGACAAATTTACTAGTTTTTGTTTAAATATTTCTGTTAGCTTTAATTTATATTTATTTCATTTTAGTTTGAGTAATTTTAGTAATTCAAACATTTCATTTCAATTAATTGCAAATGCAACATTTTTAATTTTTATGTAAGTTTTTTTAAATATTTTATTTCAACTTTATTTGACTGAAACTATTGTTTAATAGTTTTTGTTTTTGTCTTCCTCACCAAGGCGTCATTTATTTGATCAAAATACAGTAAAAATTTGAAATATTATTACAATTTAAATTAGCTGTTTTCTATGTCAATATATTGTAAACTGTAATTTATTTCTGTGATCAAAGCTGAATTTTTAGCATCATTACTCCAGTCTTCAACGTCACATGATCTTCAGAAATCATTCTAATATTCTGATCTGCTGCTCAAGAAACATTTCTGATTATTTTCAATGTTGAAAACAGTTGTGCTGCCCGATATTTTTGTGGAAACTGTGATACATTTTATTTTTCAGGATTCACAGATGAATAGAATGTTCAAAAGAGCAGCATTTATTTGAAACAGAAATCTTTTGTAACATTCTAAATGTCTTTAGTGTCACTTTTGATTAACTGAATGCATCCTTGTGCAATAAAAGTATTATTCCTGGTCAGTTTTCTCACCCGTGCTGCTGCTGGTGGGTCGAGCGCGGTGCTTCCGGTCCCATTCGGGCCGCATGGCCTCGATATCGTCCACTGAAGATGCACGGCGCATGCTGTGAAAGCTCTCGCGCGAGCGGCTGTTGGTCAGGCTGCAGCTGGACACGGAGGCGTCCGGATTGAGCCGCTGCGGTCGGGGAGAGGAGTGACCCAGGGGCAGCGCGGCGGGATGCGGCGGGGCCGGAGGAGGGGACGAGGGGTTGCTGCTCAGGAGGTTGCACTGGTCTCCAGGCAGCAGTGAGGACGGAGAGGCTGCGGCGGTCAGACGGGGCGGCTCGTGTTCAGGCAGAGACAGCAGCTCGCCCAGAGCCAGGGATTCGTGGCTTTGTGGACGGGAGCTGCTGGGGAAACCCGTTCCTCGTCCAGCCTCCGGATCCTCCCGCAGAGAAGATTTACTGTTATTCCTGGAGTTCAGGAGCGGCAGACGCAAACGGATGCCACGAACTCGGTCTACGGCAAGCACAGAGAGAAAAATGTCAAAGTTCGACATTTTTGTACCAAAAACAGTCATAATTTAGTTGTTTAATGGCCGTTTTTTATCTTTACAGTTTAATGGGCAGTGTTATTGTGACTTTAATTTGTAAATGATCTAACAATACTTACTCTAATAATAATAATAATAATAATAATACATAAGTAAATAAATAAAAAATATATGAAGAGTTTATTTGCAAAAACCGGTAACCGCCACTTTAAAAAATGAGCTGATTGCCGTGCATTATTCTCCACATATAGCGCGATCTGAACCCTAAACACATTTGCCTTGTAAAAGCAACGCGTTACAATGGTGAGGGAAAAGCGTGTAATCACAACCATACAGACTATGATCACAACGACAAAGCTTGTCAGGCGTCTACACTGTCAGCTGAGGAGATTACAACGAGTTTACTCTGAAACTTCAAATGTGGAGTTATCTGCTTTTGCTATAAAACAAACTATTAATATATATATGTGTATATATATATATATATTTATATATATACTATACAGTGGGTACGGAAAGTATTCAGACCCCCTTAAATTTTTCACTCTTTGTTATATTATGACTTGAGTAATTAATAATTAATTAATAATTAATAATTGAGTTATATCCAAATTTTCATGAGTTTTACAACTACAGCTGTAATATCCTTTAATAATTCCAGGTTTTCTAGGACTAAAATAGCTGAATGTGTATTGATATGTAAATGAGTGCATTTATATGTTAATAAGCACATATATGCATACGTATATGAAATGATAATTAACCATAGAAATTTCAATGACTTGAGTTATTAATTTCCAAATTTTCACAATAAAAGGATTTAAAAATATAAGGGGAACAATCAATCAATTAATCAAACAATTTTATTTCCGTTTAATTTTCAAATTTCCAGTTTAATTTTTCTATGTTTAATTACAGCTGAAGTATTCTATAATATTTGCAGCTTTTCCATGATTAAAAATGCTCAAAACACAATACTACTACTATATACAATACTGTTATACATAATTATAAATTTACTTCAGTCATTAGTTTCTAATTACAGCTGTAATATTCCAGGATATTTCCAGGTTTTCATGATTGTGATAATGGGCTGTTTTTGCAGCTTCTGTTTTCAGTTTTTATAAATGGCAAATGCCAAAAATATTTGTCTATTTAAGTATATATTCATGTAATTATTGTAATCAGTGTAGCATCTGTACGGTTTCATGGAAAGGAAGAGGACGCACTGACGTACTTGAATGGCGCCACAGCACAGGCAGCTTATGATTGAGAACCTGCGAGTCGTGCACTTTATCGTCCGGCATGACCTCGAAATTCAGAATAAACATGATCACCACGCCATCTTCATTCTTCACAGGAACCACGTCCACCAAACACAGGAAACACACACCTGTGAGAGAACAGAACAAGCTCACTTATATTCATTTGTGCACATGCATCTTTATAAAAAGCATCAATATGATATTAGTCAACTACTAATTTATACTCCTTTCTTTTACTGCACCAAATTCATAATAAAAGAACTGTGTCCATTAATGTTGTTGTTTATTGGCCATGCATAGAAATACATTTTCTTATTAGTCATTATGCATCTTTTCTAAATCACAAATACAAAGAAAAGTACTGTGAAATTTAATTTAATTAAATTGGGAAAAAAAACATATTGAATTAAATAATAAAAATAATAACAATGATAATAATAAATTAAGCAGAAATAATAAAAAATAAAATAATAAGTAAAACCGACAGTCAGAAACGGAGGATTATTATCCAGACAAACTAAAATACAACATATTCCTGAATCATGGGAATCCTCTCATGGACTATAGTTAAGTGATCAACTCATCTGCCAGCAAAATTAAGCCTGATTACAAATACTGTGTGTGTCTGTGTGTGTGCGGTTACATCACACATTTATAGACAAAAACACACAGAAAAAAATAGAGCTGCTTAGATATTATTATAAAACAAATCATACACACATCATGCAATACTGATGTCAATCAAAATAGCAATAGTTTCCCAATTACAGAATCTCTTAAACTGACTACAGTGAGCGCTGAAAAGTTTCAAACCACACAAAGCTGCACAATCCCAGAGATCCCAGTACAAACACCACGTCTGACGAGTCAAATCATTACAATTCTACACAGAGCTAGAGGTGTGCCATCATAAACACACAAATCCTGACTTTGACCTTTCAGATTCGTCTGAAAGCTGTTCACTGCTCAGATTTACACCGTCGCTGATTTCATCTCAACTCCTGATGTCTGAATCCACACGCTTACCTGGATCTGAACACACAATCAAACAGGACAGAGAGGAGGAAGAGATTGAGCGGACTGCAGAGATTCTCATCAATGAACACAGAGAGACAGATTGAGACGCTCCAACTGGCCCACTGTAATCCCAGCTGTGAAACCACACATGGATTACAGGTCCACCAATGCCATCTGTGTGTGTGTGTGTGTGTGTGTGTGTGTGTGTGTGTGGAAAAACAGCACAAAACATCTTCCTCTTATCAGTTTTAGTGCAGACCAAATGCAGAAACACATTTGTAAAAGCCAAAACAAAAAGTAAAATACATAAATGCAGTGCCAATTGGATTAGAAATAAAATGTAAAATAAAATCTTTTGGCAATCAAAAAACCATCATAATTGACTAATTGACTCCATTTATCTTCTTAATTCATGTTTTTAGTTTTATTGTGAACGATTTATTAGTACACGTTATTCTAAATTATGATCTTTCCTTAAAATGTACTTTTTAGTATCAATAATATAATATTATAGTTTTCATTTATTTTTTATTTTTATTTTAAAGTTTTAGTAATTTTGTCTTTTTCTTTAAATGTCTATAAAAATATACTTTTTATTCATTTTTATTTCACTTTTAGTTTTAGTTATTTCAGTGTTTTAACAAATTAGAAATGTTGCCTACCTGAAATAAAATAAATTTAACATTTAATTTTTATTAATTAATTAATTATTTTTAATTAACAAAAAAAGTCAAATAAAATAAAAATAAAACAAAATAAAATGTTAGATGAAAAACTTTAAAAATGTAGGATTTAGAACTTGAAATGAAAATTAGGAAAGTTGCCTTGGTAATTAGTTAAAACAAGTAGTTAAAGTTGAAGTATTAAAATGTTTAAAAATGAAATAAATGAAAGCTGAATAAAAGTTTTTTTTTTTTTTGTAGTTAAAGACAATAAACCTGTCTCCCACTTAGAAACGACTTTCCTTCACATTTGACATCATCAATCCGTCTTATTTATCAATCCCCTTCATACAGAGACACTTTTCACCAATCTAATCAATTTTTCATGGAAAATATCATGTTCTGCTCTACAACAACCAGTGATTTAGTGCTCAATATCTAAATACATCTATATGCTTATGGCGAAATCACAACAAAAAGTAAGAGTTTACATCTAAGGGATCAAACGCCTACAATGTCCATTAAAGGGGTATAAAAACACTGAATGCTATGACAAACTGAACCAGCTGCAGATCTCCTGATCAACACAGATTGCATGAATGAATACATACATGAACAACAAGCAGAAGAGCCCTGCTGACATGAGGATGCTGTCCTGAAAAATACATAATCCCATCTAAACACACACACACACACACACACACATGTGCAGATTAAGAGTCAGGAGGAGGGATTGGACTTTAATTCATTACGCTTCCGTCCACTTTAAAAGACTAATCCACTCCAAGATTCAGACGCCACACACACACACACACACACACACACACATACACCACACACACACACACACACACACACACACACACAAACTACATCAAACACACTAGGCTACATCTGTATTTGTTCATCATCTGTATGTCTGGATGGAATTCTATAATCCCAACAAAGTGCTCTGAGACCCAAATCACTGATGTCCCGCCTCAGAAATGAGAGAAAAAAGATGAAAATAAAACAGATTTAAGAAGCACGAGATACATGTGAAAGTGCACAAAAAATAAATGGTTAAATTAAATTAAATTACAATAATAATCAAATAAAAAAAATGCAAGGAGAACAGTCACTGGGAGAAGAATTGAATTTATATTAATCAATTCAAATTGTTATTAATTAGTATTAATAAATTAATTCCTGCAAATGTTCATTTTAAAATGTGAAACTAAAATTGACAGTCAACATTCAGGATTATTTATCTGGATGAACTAAAACAAAACATATTTCAGGAATCATGGGAATCCTCTTGTGGACTACTCAATGTTCACAAAATATTTAAATAATAAATAAAAAAATGAGCTGAGAACTGTCACAAACATGTGACTTGATAAACTAAAATAAAAAGAAAACTGATAATATAAAAATATAAGCAAATTAAAAACAAAATCATATAAACTTTCTTCTGCTTCTCAGTTGTTTCTCAGAAAAACACTTTCTGCAGCAGGTTTGTTTAGCCATTCTGCTTTTGCACGTATATTCATAATCATAATCACAAGCAACTAATCAACCTCGAATCATTCGGTAAGAGGGTAAAGAGAAGAAATACAGCATAACAGATCTATGACACTAAATTCTAGGTGTGTTTTATTTACGTATGAGTGTATTCAGATCAGGTTTTAATATTCTGCCTATAACTCTCTCTCTCTCTCTCAGTTGTTTTGTGCTGATTAATCTTTTTGTTGAGTTATGGCCACTAAATCGTCGTCAATGACAAACACCCAGAAGTCAGCCTGAGCTGCTATTAGCCACATTCATCAGGAGCATCAGTCTGAGCGACGCTTCTGCTGCGTTCACATTTCTGAAGAAAACACCGATCGCTCACGACAACAAAACACCGCCGGAGGCCTGATGAATCATCTACTGCACCGATCTTTCACCCGATTACACACACACACACACACACACACACACACACTGTAAGTCTGTAATTTCATGAAAATCAAATATTTAGGTGGAGGCTTTACCAACCCTTATTACACACACAAAGACTGATCCCTAAACCTGACACTAGAGAAATGGCTTTTCTGGATGTTAATGAACACTTTTTGGTTATTCACATTTTAAGTGGTTAACTTAACTTAAGATCATATTTAACACTGGGTTAATGTAATCTTGCATTATCATCATGTTTATTTCACCTTTTTCACCAATTAGTAATTCCCCACAGGACTTCATAAACCAGAATTACATGTGTGAAACATTGCTTAACCCAGGGTTAACTGTGGCCTTAACCTGGGGTTAAAAAACGAGGTTATTTATTTGCATAGTACTTTTAACAAAACACATTGTTCTAAAGCAGCTCTACAGAAAATAAAAAAACAGCAAAAAAAAAAAAAGAGGATAAGAAAGAAAGAAGTGAGCAGCCGAAGGTGACAAATGCAACGTAAAACTTCCAAGATTGTCTAAGTAGAAGAAGAATAAACCTTAAAGAAAAACCAAGTAAATAAATAAATTAACAAGTTATTAAATGAAATAAAATATTACATGAAAAAAAAGTTTAATAAGTTTAATAAATAAATAAGTTTAAAAATGTAGAATTTAGAAATGTTGCCTTGGCAACTAACTAAAATCTTAAAGAAGAACCAAGACGCTGTGGCAAGTAAGCAAGCAAGTAAATAAATAAATGAATGAATACAATTATTATTATTTTAAAACTAAATATTAGATGAAAAAATAAGCTTAAAAATAGAATTTAGAAATTCAATTAATACAAGAATAATGTTGATGATGATTCTTATTAAATAAAATTACAAAAAAAAAAACATTTGACAAAAAAAAAAATTAATGAGCGTGATGCTAAAACAAGAATTGCAGTGTTGTAGAGGGCAATAAAAATAGATGGAAAAATTAAAGCCTGAGCCTACTCTATCAAAATGACAACGATTGTTTGAAGCACAGCCCTGAGCTGATACATTTTTGAGTACAAATATATGCAACAAATGTAAGAGAAGTCGTGAGTGTATGAAATGATGAGCCGCACATGCTTGAGTTCAACACTAGAGGGCAGAAGAGCTTCAGACATTCATCTGTTCTGCATGAGCCTCATTCATCAAACAGCACATCCTGACAGGAGAAATGATTACTGATTACTGATGATAATAATGATCTCATGCTGTAATTAACAGAAATGGAGTCAGGCTTTCATTTGGACAGCAAATAACTGAGCTCTAAACATCTTGTTCCAGTCAGCACCTGTAATATGATGAAAAATCACAGAGGTATATGAGTTCATAAGCTAATATCATCCTAGAGCAGACAAAGGGTCAACAGATTCAGATTCAGAGGTCTATGATAGATGATTAAATATTAACCCAGGCTACTTAAAATGAAATTATAATAGCTAGGCAAAGATCATAAATGAACAAATCACTGATAATTCCAGAGAAAATCACCCATAA